ATATATATATATAAATACATATGACACCACAGAGTAACTACTCAGGGACTACTGAGTTGTTGCTGAGTAGTTACTAAGTAGTTACTCTTTGGATATCAAAGAGTAACTACTTATGTCAGTAACTACTCAGGAATTACGGAGTAGTTACTAAGTAGATATTCTTTGGACACCAAAGAGTAACTACTCTTGGATTACTGAGGAGTTACCAGACACCAAAAAGTAACTACTCAGAAACTACTGATTATTTACCAATGACACCAAAGAGTAACTATTCAAGAACTACTGAATAGTTTACCAGAAATTACTGGGGAACACACAGCTCATCCTTATTAGGGGACTTCTGGTTTATTTCCTGCGAAACAGGAAATTATCTTCAAGTGATTTCTGAATAAACCCTGCTCCTGTGAGGTCACGGATATTGTTAGATACCTGTTTCCTTGATTTCACTGACTTTATTGGTTTATCTATTTTTGGAAACCTTTTGATGAAAGATGTAAGTAGTTTTACATTGTTGTATTGATGTCATCTTAAGTACGTCTGCCTATCACTTAATGAGTACCAAATCATTGCCTGGCTATTATCATAGTAGATTATTTCTGTTTCCAAGAAGATGACCCACAGAGTGCTGCCAGCTTTGGTGAATCAGGATGAAATGCTATTTTTTAATTAGTTCAGTTATACAGTGCCAATTCACAACAAAGTTCAACTCAGAGCAAAATATTTCCACCAGTGGTGGGCAGCACTAATCTAAAAATTAGTTCCACTAACCCTAAAACACTAATTCAAATATTTAGGTCCCCTAATTCTAAAGCACTAACACACTGAAATTTTTAGCAAAAGCTAATTCTGAAGCACTAAAGTAACCCAATCAGCCCATGAACATTCTTCAACAGACAACACAAGTCACATATTGTCATGTTGCTCTCTTGAGACTTATCATTAATATTCAACAGCTGTATTTGGGTTCATATATTGTCAATATATAGTCACCTGGTGGATAGGTGACACACACATGAATAAAATGTGCAGCTTTCACCATCAGCTGTTAACATTAACATTGATCAATAACATTTTAAGACCTCTGTTAGTGCTTCTAAATTTAGCCTATAAATTTAACAAGTGCTAATCCACTAATAAATCTTAAAATTAGCAAAAGCCCTAAAGCACTAATCAGGAATTTAGTTCCTCTATTAGTGCTTTAGTGCTTTAGGGGAACTGTGCCCACCACTGATTTCCAAACAAAGAAAAACAGATAATTACAGAAATAATTTCATGTATACATATGGAGTAGTGAGAGTAAAAACAATAGCATAACTGAAGGATACTTCAAGAAATCCAAACCAACTCTAACCAAACCTGTAGGATTTATAAATAAGGAAAGTTTTTAGACAGGTCTTAAAAGTAGATAATCAGATCCATGGTTAAACACTGGAAGCTGGTTCCACAAACTTAGAGCATGAACCTTTAGGAACCACGGTAAACTCATAGTCAGAGAGTGAAGCATTATCTTGGGAGCATATGCAACAATAAGGTCCAATATATATGGAGCTTGGTCAGTGAGAACTTTGTATGTTAATAGTTTGATTTCAGTGTCGATATCCATCAGGCTGTTCTTTGCTGTAGGATCTTTCCTTGCTCTCTTAAACATCTTGAGTCCTCTGTTTCTGTGTCTCAACCTCAAAGCTCTCATTGCTGTGSGGGTTGGSGTCAGCTCGGGTCGRCGACCTTCTGATTCTGGAGTGGATCAGTCTTTTTAGAGCCACTAGGGGGATGGAAATAACAGGCAGCACACAGAGGAGTACAATTATGACGAACACCCACTCTGGATATGACTTCACCTCAGTATGAGGGAAATATTCCTAAAGAGAAAAAAACATGTAAACAATTAATAGATGTCATTATAAAATTTAGGGTAATTTTTGGTACAATAAAACAAACAGGTGTGTTAATATAAACTAAACATATTGTAGACTCTTGTACACATCCCTTTACATAGGTGAACAAACAGTCACTGGTATAATTACATTCAGATATAAGGTAGCAGAGCAAAGATATTCAAACTGAGCTACATGAACCCACAGCTGAATGATGTGAAATGCATCTTTTCTTTTAAGATGGAAAACTGTTCAGAGACCCAATAAAATGAACCTGAATTAAATGCAAAGTGTTGCATTTGTTTTGATTCAAAACTATAATACTGTTGGAAGCAGCACTTCTACAGTTTTTTTTTTTTTTTTTTTTTTTGCTTGCTTTAAACTCCTAGTGCCATTCTTACAACTTTAAAGCTTTCTAAAAATCTGTATAGAAATTAAGTAAAGACGAGTAACATAAAACCTAGCATGGATTTGATTCTGCAAACGCAAAAGTGGCTAAATGGTGTAGTAGTAGCTAATCACCCCTAAAGCATAATCTGAGTGCAAGGAGGTCACAGTGGTGAAAGACTGACATTTCTCCATGTGCTCTTATTTAAAAAGTTCGCATATTGACCTTTACGAAATTAGATTATGTTTAGCAATACTTCAAATTTACCTTGTAAATATCTATTTGTTTTAATTTTTTCCATCACGTATCACAAAAAAAACTGAATAATCACTTTTCTTGCTTACATAGTTTGGGTTCCACGCTGAATAAGTCGGATATTTGGCTGCCTTCTTGGCCACATAAGCAACTAACACCACCAGGAGCATGACTGGACTAACCACCATCCAACACACCTTCCAATAGATGTTGGGCCTCCTCCCAGTCATGAAATGAATGTCATTACTGAAACTGACAGAGGAAACAGTGGTGCAAAGGAAAATTGTGTTAAATTTGTATATGAGTTTCAGTGGTCTAAAAACTGTGTGGAACGAGAAGAAAAGTTACGTTTTCATTCCACGAATGTAAATGACTCCAACAACCTCAAATAATGCAATGATGAGCAGAGGTACAGAGCCCACATAGCTACTAAAGACCTCCACCCAGTAGTTTCCTGAACCCTGAGCGAATGTCAGAGACATCACGAAGGATATAAAACAGACAATTCCTAAGATAAATAGAAAACAGAAAAAAAGAAATTCCTCAGAAAAAGAAACCAAATGCTCAGTTTTTTAAAACAACTCCAGCTGGATTAGGTACCTGTCACAAGTTCAGTGGGGATCCACTTGGGAAATAGTTTGAGGTCATTGATGGGTGTGAGGATGGCCTCAATGGTGCCAAACATGGAGGAGAGACCCAGGCTGAAGAGCATGACGAAGAACAATATGGCCCATATCTGTGAGCCAGGCATCTCCAAGACAGCTTCCGTGAACACAATAAAAGCCAGGCCAGTACCTGAAGCACTCTTCGGGAGGAATAACAATAAATAAATAAATAAATAAACAAATAAATAAATAAATAAATAAAATGGGTGAATGTCTTGATTGTTATGGAATTGCCCAGGAAAATAGAGCAAAGGGAGATAGAAACTAGGAAGGTATTAAAGATTTAATAAAGAGGAAGACAAATATGATGTGCAACGGAGAGTTCAAAGTCCTACCTTGTCAAGAAATGTTTGTAGGTCACATTCCCTCAGTGACAAATTGGATACAACATCTGGATAGCTCTGATTTAAATATTCATACCATTTATTGTAGTTGTCCAATGTCATGTTTTGATCTGAAATCTCAAAGTGGTTGGTCAGAGTCAGGATGTTCCTGCAATSGMGATTTGAGAAATTAGATCAACATYTTTGTAGAGACTAAGAAGCTTTAAAGCCATCACAAGTACACTTGCATACTCTTTTAGGCAAGYGTTAAATCCGTTTGTGGCTTTAAATCCCAGTATGGAAAAAATGGGGATGGATGCGTAGAGAGATGTGGCGCTGTTTATTACTCCTACAAGAACAGCGTCCCTCTCACAGTTATTTCTGAAAAACAGAGCAGSAWYWATMGTTGGGTTTTRTYRTCAYTTWAWCTCTGCCAGAAGTTTCAGYTCTTACCTTTCTGCATTATAGCTGGAGAAAGCTATGAGACCTCCGAACGCCACAGAAAGAGAAAAGAARATCTGGGTGGCAGCATCCAGCCACACCTGTGGGTCCTTTAAGGTTTCCCACTGCATCAAAAACATGTATTAGATGTGTTTTAGATACAACCTATAACCATGAAGTAACACAAATAGACTCACATTGGGAGTGAAAAGGTAAACCAAACCATCAGTGGCTCCAGGTAGGGTGAGGGCACGGATCAGGAAGATGGTCAGCACTAAGTAAGGGAATGTGGCTGTCACATAAACTGCCTGAAAAAGTTTAGCTTAAATAAATCAGTTTGTTTCTGGTTGCAATATAAATCAATATTTGTTTTTATTCACTGACCTTTCCAACAGACTTAATGCCTTTGATGAAGCAGAAGTAAAGTATAAACCAGGAGGTGGCCAAACAGACCACCATCCACCATTGCAGTGAACCGCTGGTCTCAATGTCTGGTGTGATGTTCAGAGTGTTTCGGTACCAGAAATAATTCACAGGAGTGCTTTTCTCACACTGCACTATAAAACCTGTATGGATAAAGCAAGATTTAGTGAAAAGTTGTGTCAATAAATAAAAGCCTAAGCTAATTTCTTATTGGGCTGCATCAGTTAGCGCAAATTTTGAACAACGTTCTAAAAGGAGTTTCCAATTGAATTTTAAACAAGTTCAGACCTTGGTTCGGTTCATTCTTTTTTTTCTTCTTAAATAGCATTGAAAGCAGAGTTGTACTGGTAAGAGGTACCGGCCTTTTACATGTAGTGTGATGGTGTGTGGAATTCTGTGACTTCATCAAAAGATTAAAAATTGTTCTGACCATCATTTGATGTAAATGTTTCCATTCCCCTCTCATACAACTGTGTTCTTTCTTAACAAGCAGAATTTAACCAACATTTTGTTTACTCAAAGGCAGTGGAATACCATTCTAGCCATCTCTATTTCAATTGTAATGAAGGATTGCTGTACGGGTCACAATGATAGAGCAAAAGTGTTTCCAACTTTTGGTAAAATCTCAAATAACCACAGAACTTATATTTGTTAGACTTGCTAATGATAAATGATTATTCTGTTCTTATTCTGGGGTTTTTATTTTTTTTTTCATGGCATAATTTCATCGCTTAATATATGTATGCATATGTTTTAAGTATTTTAATATAATTGCCGGCAGTAAGTCGGGCTCGTTTCCGTTGAGAGTTGGACTCCGCCAAGGC